CGGTACAAAGCAGTGTTAACGTTTGCCAACCTTAGTTGGAATTGTTTTCCTATGTGGCAAGGACCGAGCTGAGCCAGGATAAAGTAACTCATAGATCACATACACTGTAAATTGATAAAAAGTTGGGAAGGGAGATTTATTAAAAAGGACTAAATACAGCTGGGTGAAACAGTTATCAGAAAGGAGCATAATTCAAAAAAATGAAGGGTACATTACAGAAAGAGCAGGGAGACTGCTTATTCTATTTAATTTTATCTTAATCAGAAGAATAAATAGCTAAAAGTACAAGATTTATGGTGAGAGAGGGAGGAATAATGAGGGTGACAGAGTGAAAAAAAAAAAGAAATAAAGCCTATCAGGCAACCCAGCTCAATAAAAATAAATTCCTCCTCTCTCAGCGGTTAAAGCAACATGTTTCCCGAGTCCTGACAATACCCCATTCTTTTGCTTTCTGGCTGGCTGGAACCCGAACAACCATCAATCAAGTTTGGGTGGCCGTGAAGTAGGCCAGATGGAGTATGTCGGAAGCGTTTTCTGCTCTTCAGTGCAAGTTGGCCATTAGAGCAGCCGCTCGACAGAAGTGCCTGAGTCTTTAACATCTGTCAAGATAGTTTAGGGAGACCTTGAACATCCCCGGCCTTGCAGACACTGATTAGAATATGCAATTGTGTGTGCTAGAGGGGAGGTGGCAGCCTCCACTGGGATTCTGTGATAAAAAATTACCCGCTCGTCCTTTCCAGTCCTCGTGACAGGCTTTCTCATGACCTCATTTGTGTACTAAATACACAAACCATGGTGTCTGGGATATCACTACCACGTTGCTGACAATCTCTCTGTCCCAATGCACAACATTCAAGAATGGACAACAGTTTTCATCCTGTGTTAACGAGACTTTAGCACAGGAGCCCAGGACCAAGCTACTGTCTTCCAATCTGAAAACACCACAGCAAAGCTATAGAGAAAAGAGCTCATCAGAAATCCAGATAAAATTCAAATTTCCGATTCTTCATCTGCTCTCCCCTTTAAATCTGATATATAGCACAGTTTCTCTAACAATTCTCTTGCAAACAGTGAGCTCCAAAATGTCCAACTGTCACAGACTACAATCCGTAATTCGAGTCAGCTGCTCAGAAGAAAAAATACTGAGACAGAGCAGTTTCTAATAAGGAAAAAATACAGGGGGTTTGTTTATTTCCAAAATAATGAGAGTACTTCAAAAAGATTTAAGGCTTTTTCATGAATGCTGGCTAATGATAAAATAAATCCACCAGAATACTTAGATCACCAGTTTATAAGGCAGGCATTGATTCCCAAGGTTAATGAGTGCCTCCTGGTTTAATTTAGCAGAAGTTTTGCCACAGCTCATAGAAGTTCATGGGAAACCAAAATATACTTTTATCGGCACACCTGCAAAATTTTAAAACCCCTGGGATTTTTCTGCAGGTATAATTTTCCTTTCTGTTAAGCACAGATCAAACACCTATGAAACAGCAGCCATCTTTGAAATAGTCAGGTGAGAGAAGAGAGACACAGGATTCATCCTACCAGCAAAATAGCTACATGTTCATGAGCTGGAAAGATGGATAAGCAACAGGAAAGCAGCAGTTACAGATAACATCCATTTATTTACATTTTTCTCAAAGAACAGAGAAAGTGAGGAGGAACTTCAGACACCAAGCCATACTAAGGAAATGTGTCAGGCAAAATCTGATACATAATACTTCACTGGGCAAGCCTAGATGAAATAATCTGCCTTACTCACACACCTTCTTGGGTTCTTAACTAGCTGCATTAACTTTTTTAAAAAATACAAGACTTAGGGACAATTGTGAAGATCTCAGATAAAGATATCTGCTCCACATGCAAGCAGTGATCAAAAGAAAAACATTTAGGTTATTTAGTGGGTGTAATGAACACTAAAGGAAGTATTACAACGATATTTTATTTTTCAACACAAATCTGTGGAGGATATGCTTGGAATATTGTGCACAGAACAGTCTCTTCATCTCAAAAGTAATTTTGCAATAATATAAGGAATTTAGTCAAGTCCAGTAGAGAGTATTCTTATAATGGATAAATTGTTATACAACAAAATACTGAACTCAGAGGTTTTAGCTTCAAAAGATAGCAAGTGACAAAAAGTAACAGAAGATATATAAAACTACAATTGACTGGAGAAGCTAGATAGGGGCTTTTACTCACACCATGTACAATATGAAATCAAAAGGAAAAGTGATGGCATGGAGAGGTTATAAACACAACCAGAAGGAAAAATTCAGGGCACGGGAAAAGAGTTTAGTCAGGAAAATCATGAAAAATACCCTTTTTCTGAATACTAGTATTTTTCAGTGCAATATTCTCAGTCAGTTCACATCGGCTTTTGGTACTCCCAACCTACTGCTGTCAGAGATGTATTCAGTGATGCAGCTCTTGAAGCACACCAGTCAGAAGGTAACTGTTTAGCATCAGAACAGACTCCTGTAATCAATAAGCCCCTCACTATGCTGCTGCCAGAGCTCCCAAATGCCAGAGCACCACTGCCCTGCTACTCCAGGCAATCACAGTAGGAACAACATATGGCACTTGATCAGCATTTACAGGTCTAGCTGCATATGAATACAGATCTTATGCAACACTGTCTCTCAGACAAAAAAAAAAAAAATGCTGCCTCAAAATCATATATCATATGCTTTTTTTCTTGTAGACTTGAGCCATTGATATGAAGCTATGGGTGAAAAGGGAGGCTAGTATGTACCTGCAGTCTTTTCCAAGTGCTCAGACAATAATCTAGATCTTCTCGTCTCCAAAGAATTAAACTGGGTACTATTCTAACTAAAGCTTGAACACAGTTTAATTCTTCCTTTATTTAGTTGTGGGTGGGGACTTACCTCCAACCTGTCATTTCCTTCACCTTGAGCAGAAAACAGAAATACCAGCTAACGTGTCAGCACTCAGATTTTTAACTCAGAAATGAAGTTCAGTAGGGCACAACATTTCACACAGTATTAATCTGCTTGACCTAATTTCTTACTCTAGTCCCTCCTGCTGCTGCCAACATACTGTCCAGTGTGGCTGCTGCGTAGTTATACCCACAGATCTGCAATATGGATTTCTTAACTTTAGCTCAGGGCACAGGCAGGCTGTGACTGTGTGACTTCCACACGTGCCGCTCCTACTAATGCCAACAGCAGATGAACAAGCAGGTGGCATGCAAGAAGACGCTGTGAGATTTCTAATTCAAGTCAGAGAGCAGACTTTCTGCCCACAGTTGTTGTGATCACAAACCTACGTTTGTACCTCTTTCTCCTTTTGCGTTCCTTCAAACCAAATGAAGTCAGGTTTCCTAATCAAGTCAAACTATGTTTGCTGCAGCCAGTCCCAATCTGAGTTTCAGTCTCAGCTACAACTCGTATCTAGAATCAGTTAAACTCCCATACAGCAATTTCACAAGCTCTGCCTTTAAAACTGTGACTTGAAAATGACCCTGTACCACTCAACAGCCTTGCTCTCACAAAACAATGCTGCATCGACACTCTGCTGTTTCTTCCTCTCCCCTTTTCTGACAGCCACTGATAGAATATACTGACTCAGCAGGAGCAGAACAAGGCAGAGGGCTGCTAGTGGCTTGAGTGGCAGAGGCCTTCTGGCAGCACAATAGGTAGGCATGGAAACTTACTCAAAAAAAACTAAACCAAAACCTCACCAAAAAATCTTTCCCCCCGCAAACTAATAAACAATAAAATCACACAGCTCAAAGCCCTTCCTACATTCTCACTCCCAAATGAAAATGAAAACTGCTGCCAGCTCAACCAAGTCTCTGAAAATCTAGTTGTCTCCTCTCTGCTTCACAGCTTGTCATTATCTATGCAGGTTCTAGACTCACAACTTATGTGATAACGCCAGGGATGGTGTGCAAGGAAAACCAGTTATGGCTGTACTGACTTGCAAAGCAGATGGCTGCAGATTTTTTCTGCCTGTGTGCGTGCAACCTCATCAGACGTGTCCCTGGTTGCACAAGCAGAGCAGGCCACCTGCAGGTACTCCACAGATCAATGGTGCACCACCATCCACAATTTGAAAATTGCTCGTCCCAGTTGCACCTGTCACTCCTAATCACATTTATTTTTATAATTACCCAAGTATTCAGAGCCTGGAATGTGTTAAACCTAGCTGGTTTTAAGCAAACAAATGCCAGGGTAGCATAGCTTTTATAATCCACTTAAAACACATTACTTCTGTATCTCAAACAAGATCTCACAGTTTTAGCTCCCACTGTAAATCATCCTACACACATAACACCTGCTACTCTGACAAAAGAGTACATTAAAAGGCTTTTATGATTAGAAAGAAAGTAAGTTTGTCTAAGGGAACCTGGAAACACAAATGCAGGGCATATGCCTTTCTGTGTACTAGGAATTACACTGTCACTTGCATTTAAATAAGACACATACATTATGTACTCTCCTTTCTTCTATCTTTGAATAAAAAAATACACAAACCCAAGGGTGCAGAACACCCACATATCCTCTCTTCATTGTGCAGTGAGCAGAATATCCTTTCAATACTACCTGTCCAAAAGAAAAGCAGTCTCTTGTTCAACTAGTCATCATTCGATACCAAACAAAACTTACATTAAAGGTGTCATTATCAAGAGACATTTTTGCATGCTATTATTGGTCTGTTCCCATCAACAGATGAGTTATGAAAATCACCTGTACCCTGGAGGTCTACCGAGCATCAGCAGATTGGGAGCAATACAGGTGGTCGAAGGTTAGAGCTGGAGCTCTAATCTTCAGGTCACCTCTCGTGTACGAGACTGGCTCGACTACACATCTCAGGAATATTGTCTGACAACTGGGAGATGGGAGCAGTGCGGAACTGAGGCAAGGTCATGAAAGCACAATCTCCCGTACTACTGACCCCCCGCTGAAGCACAGGGGACATCACAAATCCAGCGATTTAAATGAACTAGTGCGCAGCTTTCAGCAAACGGAATTTACCTTGAGGTTTGGGTTTGGTAAGCTTCCCACAGGGCTTTGAGATTGTGACAGTCTTCTGGCAGTCAGCATTGTGAAGGGCTCTCTTTAGGTTCCCGGTCCGAGTCTTCAAGGCAGTATTCAAGTCACATTCTCCCCAGGCCTGGAACTGGTATTTGCACTCCGCTGCAATGAGTAAATAAATGGCAATAATTAAAGCAGGATGACTGACTGTGAAAATAAAAATGTTATAGAGTCTAATAGGATATCGTGGACAGCCAGTGCTTGTAGACAAAAGGATCGTGCAACTGAAGAAAGGAATCACAAGAAAAATTTAAAGATGATTTGCAGTGATAATTGCAGTCTCTCCCCCCCCCCCCCCCCCAAAAAAAAATACTTTAAAATCAAATCCTCTTGCTTTTGCATGGATATTACATTATTGTCATATAAAGGAAAATACATTCAACTGAAAATACACAAGAAATTAAAAAAAGAAGGAAACAACAGCAGTGGGAAACCTCATCCACATTTTATATGGTTGTTCCTCCATTTGTGTGATGCCAAAGGTTACCAAATAAGGACTGAATAGTTTCAGCAATGTATGTGCAACTATGAAATTGTCAGGTCTGAAACTGCTGCAGTCACCACCTTAGTAATGTCACAATGATGTCAAAGCCACCCAAGCTGTTTACTAGAAAAAAGCCAAGTTTGCAAGAGTAATCAGATCTGAGTCCTGGACAGACACCTCGTCCAGGACAGATCCGATGTATCTTTCTGAAGCGTTTTAGATGAACCTTCCGAACTGAATAATATAGATGACATACACTGGTCTTCATTCACTCCTTTCAGTGCCCACACTGGACTCCACCCACGCTCCATGCTGCAAACCACCCGTCGCAAGGTCACGCAAAGCCGGTGGTAACCATCACAGAGATTCCCAGCTGTGAGCGAACACACGGCACTTACACTGATGCCTTAAACAGGGCTGTACACCACAGGAGAGCAAATTTAAACATGCCGCTGGAACACTGAGTTTACAACAAGTAGGTTACGTGGTCTTTCCGCAGAGGAGCTGCTTTGCTCTGAAGCAGCTGCCTTCCGATGAACACGCCCGTTCTAGTTGCGATGAACTTGAAATACAGAAGTAGCCCCTTCCCCAAGACATTCACAGAGAGAAGCAGAAAATACGGGCTTCCTTCTCCACACTTCAGTAAAAACCAAGGCACGTCCCTTGAGAGAGTGATGCTTACCTCCAAATTGCTTCTTCCAGTTGCAGGGAATCTTACACTTCTGAGTTTTGGTGGTTTGCTTGCACTCAGCTCCGGTGCGAGTGCCCTCACGCGTGCCCAGGCCACAGTCACCACTGGTGGGCACGCAGACGCTCCACTGCCATTCCCCGCAGTCAGACTTCTTCGCCTTTTTCTCTGCATGAAGACAAGGAACCGAGCCCAAGCAAGACAAGTGGTCAATACCCAGAGCCTACGGAGAATCTCCCTGAACTTCACTAAACAGTCACAGCACCTGAACGGGTGAACAAGGGAGACGCTCATAAAACAACTGCTTCAAAAGCAAAAGGTCTGGCGTCCTCCTCACGGTTTTTCAGAAACAGATCAGCTTCTTTGACTCCAAAGCAGGGTGGATCATTCAAATCCAGTCCCACTACCATGTCTTCTAGTCCACTTAGGTAATCTCAAGTGGATTTTCACCTTCAGGATGGAGAATCATCTAGAAACCCTCAGGGATCAGTGACCAAAACATGCAGAAGGGCTCACTCAGAAAGAACACTCCTCTGCTTCCAGTAGCTGATGGCATGTAAATTTTTTCAGTCTCAGCTGAAGCACTACACACTATACAAATTACAAAGTTATATGTTGTGTATCAGAGGATTCTAGCACCTCCAGGGAACAGCTGTGGGATACGAACTTTTCACTTCTTATACCATGCCACATCTTATGTCAGAATATGACCAAAACTCCAAAGGTGAAGAAAAACTACATGGAGGAGGACACTCAAAATGCTGTTGAACACAGGTGGGTTTGCTGATCAGAGACAAATTAAGGATCGTGATTTCATTTAAATCCTTAAGCCCAAGTCTCAGGAAAAAAGACAGCAATGTTATCAAACTCAAGGGTTCACAAAATAATTAGTTAGGCCCCCGAAACATCAGAAGTAACTTTGAATAACCTTATATAAAATTACTTTTCTTCTAGTTCTTGTATATTTACATTCACATTTTCTCATATTTCCATACAGCCACAATGGTTAGAAACACCTTTTTTTTTTAGTGGAATCACTATTTCTGATAGACTCGCAGGTCATATTAACTGGTGTGGAAGTAGCCTGTAAATAATAAGACCTTATGGAAAACACCAAAAGATGTGTTCCTTAAAAACCGTCAAAACTGAGTTTGACAGATATGAATTTTCTACCCCAGGCCTGTCTCTCCTATAATGAGGCCTGAGTTCATTACTGACAGAAAGAAATTACTGCTGGATGTCTGGATGTCTATCTGCAGCCGTGAGTTAGTTCAATTCTTTGTCAGAGGATTTTCACGTCACACAGCATTGGTGTAGCAGTGTCATATACAACACCGAACAAGCGACATGGTAACTGCTCTTTCACCACTCCTGTTTGGTTCTCCCTAAATCAAGCACGAACCTACTCCCAGAGCAAATTTTAAGCTGCCTTGCAGTACCCGCTCTGTGATAAACTAAGGACTCCAGTCTCCGGGGCCGTCAATCTGCCAGATTTCATGGAAACTACTTTCCGTTTTCCGATTTAACACAGAGCAACATGTCACAGCCACAAATCCCCACCCTGCATGCCAAAAGGTTAACAAATGACCTGCATTTCATAACAAAACCAGAAGCATTTGACATTCTCCCACACATACAATTTATCTCGGGGATTAGCTCTGAATTTCACTGGTCCTTACCTGGTTTCTCTTTTTTGCCAGCCTCAGTGGTACTCACAGCTGCCAGTATGAAAACAAGTGCCAGGAGGGCAGCTGTGAACACGCGACGTTGCTGCTGTTGCTGTTGCATTCTGGGGATTAACAAGGGAGAGGAAAAAAAAAAAAAAATGTTGGTTAGACTGCAAAAAGCGAGACCCCCATCTAAAGTGTTGCTGCAGCATTTTTAGGAAGCTCTGCTTCAGGGCCACAAAACACAAGCAGGTCAAACGTAATTAGCCATTGGCAGAATGGGCAATTATCTTCATTCCAGAGAGAATACAAAGATTTTTAACAATTATTTTCCAGCTTGTGTACCAAATCCCTGATCTACGTTGCTGATGTTATGGATGAGTTTTGCCACAGGAAGTTCAATAATTATTGCTCAGCTTCTAGAATCCTGTCAGAGAATCAAGGATCCTGATGGGCCTGGAACTTCTTTCTTCTTTCCTGATCTCTGGCTGTGATTTATTGTGTAAAACTAAACATAACATATACTTTGTGTTTCAGTTTACCCACCCAATATGAAGGAGGAAATGCTACACTGTCCACCTTGCAAGGGTTCAAGTTCTTATTAGGTTTACTTGACATCTGAGAAGAGCTTCTTTCATAAAAATTTATATAGGTAATATGTGATTTATTAATGTAATTGTCATTGGCATGTTGTTACCTACCTCTTCCTTCCCCTCCAATTAGTGTCTCTTCCTAATATAAATTAAGCTAATTGCCTGAAATGCAAAATAAGCACAGAGGTAGGACCTGCACACACATCTAGAGGCTATCCATAGCATGCTAATGAACCCAAAATCTGGATTTGATAAGCAAATATTCAAATATAAAGAGGAATTAAAAAACATTTGTTTTGTGTCGAAACGTCAGTTATTAGCCAATCACCAAAAGACATTCAGGGCTTGCTGATTTCAATGGCTTACACACGTATTTCCTTTTCACTTTGCTGTAATTTGCATTGTCTCATTTTGGCATTGTTTCTCTGAAAGCAGGGCCATAACAAATACATATGTTAAAAATAAGCATCCTCCTCATTTCCCAGAGACACCTCTCTAGTACACAGACAAGTACCTAGACAGTGGATAGAGATTGCTCTGACGGAAGGTTTCTCCAGCTTTTTTTTTTTTTTTTTCTCCAAATCAGGGCCTATGGCATTCATGCTACACCAGCACTCCAAGGAAGTGTCAACAGTGCTAGCCACTAAGATGGCCTTAAAAACTCAATTAGACTGATGTTACAGAGGATTTAGAGGCAACCTGATCTCATTTTGCTGAGCACAGCAACCTTACAGGAGAAATAATTCCCACCATGAACAAAGAACAAAATCTATTTGAAATTTAATTTTGCATTTGTCAATGTAATTGTAATTGACATGGAAAACAGGAGAGGAATCCCAAACACAGAGACATTTGAGGATCCAGTTTTAATATCATACTAGAAGCCAGATGAGAAAACTTTAGAGTTTTGTGGAAATAAAGTTCATGTGAAGACTGCAAGAGACCTGGCATTCAAATGTCTGAAAGAGCTGTCATTAGCACCAGTTTGGTTTACTTCAAAGGAAAGTACCATTTCCCATCATGAAGAAACCACCACCAGTGTTTCCAGTGAACTCAAAGAGAGCCTGGGAGCTAGAGCACACAGCAGTCCTGTGTGAACTTGGGTTTGGTTTTTCCTTTCTTCTTCTACATGTTTTCACTTAGAGACTCTCATGCTTTACAGAAAATTAAACAGAAAAATAATAAATAAAGTAATTTAAAAAAAAAAAAAAGCAACCTGCCTTTTTATTCCACTTACTTCAAACTGGTTCTCCATAATCACAGTTGCAATACTGTTAAGACAACAAACCTCCCCTCTCAGCCCCTTTCCTTTGGAGAAACTTCACCACCAGCATCCCTGCACCTCACTTCACATCCCATCCCATTTTCACTACAATTTATCTTCTCACTTCCTCTCTTCCAAATGACTCACCAGAATCCCTCAAAGGAGCGAGAGTTAAGTGCTTGTGTGGAAACACATATGGAAAGAGAGACAAATACTTCCATGATCTCAAGACACGATCCCAGCATGCTGTCTGGGGGTGTCACAAGCTGAAGCAAGGCAGCGCCGGTGGGTTTGCTGCACAGGATGTTGCCCCACGCAAGAAATGCCCACAGTGGGCTTGGGGGTCCTTCCTACATCCTTGCTGCCCACCCTGGGGACCTGGGATGTGGTCATATGCACCCCACCGGGTGCTGACAGTCACCAAGTGCCATGGGTAACTGTTTCTAGGGAAGCTGCCTTACACCGAGTTGACAGAGACTCAAATTCAAATCTGATCAACGTTATTTTCAGCAAAACGGGCAGAGAAAATAGTTGGGTTCTGGAGTCTCAAATGTTCCAGAAGGCCTATAAACAAAACCCCATGCAGCCTTAATATAGCATTCTTCCCTAAGACTCCAAGTCTCCCTACAGCCAAAACACTTGACAAGTTATCCAGGGCAAACATTAAACCTCCGTATATATATATATCTATGTCTTTATATATACCTATATATATATAACTCCCTCTGGCAGAGAGCACCAAACTGTTTCCTGAGGTGCCTTTGCTATTAATTACCAACAAATGAAAAACCATGCTGTACAGATGGAGGCCCTGCCTCACACCACACAAACACTTTGAGTTTGATGCAACCGATGTGACTACAGAAAATTGCGTAATTATTTTGCACATGATGGATCAGCAAGGGCAGGTGTGCCCACAAAACTGCAAACAGCCTATATACAGTACTCACTAGATACTTTTTCAGAAGGACAGAAAACCCCACCTATCAGCAATCGTTTGAGTTCAGTCTTCAGTCTTCCTTGCAAATATTTCAGCTGGCCATTAAAAAGATAGATGAAGATAAAAACTTGCCAGACTGGACTTGTTTTTGAAAACACTTTTTTGGTTTATTTTTTTTTCAAAATTCTAAGGTGCCAATTTCACCTTTTCATTAGATTCTGTGATAACATTTCCAGTTCAACCTTTGATTTAAACAACAGCCAAATCTGCTAATTGCAATGAAAAAATAATTGTTTCACAATATGCAAAATGGGCTTCTCCTCAACATTTTGATTTTTGTAATGAGCCTTCTATCTGTACCAATGGTAACAAGTAAATCATGTGTCACGAAGGGAAAGTATTTCTAAAATCCTGTACAAGAGCCCATAAACAGCACAAGACAGCAGCATTTAAACAAATGGCAGTAGCATTTATAACAAACAGGAAGAGACAAAAATAAAAGTGAAGAAAATAAAAGAAAAAAGACATTTTGGTGGGGGAAGCTCCAGGAAACCTGATGTCGTGGTTTGAGCTCAGAGGGCAACTGAGCATCATGCAGCCGCTCACACATCCCCTCTCTCTCAGCAATGAGAAGGGACAAATGAGCCAGGTTTGGGATTCAAGATAGGACTGGGAGGGGCAGATCACCCATTATGGTCACAAGCAAAAGGCAGACTCGTTAGGGGAAGGAAAAAAGAACATAGATTTATTAGAGACACTAACAAAAACACTTAAGAGAGTAGGACAGTGAGAAGCATTGCCACATCTTGAGAACACCTTCCCCCCACCCCTCCCTTCTTCCCGGGCTCAGCTCTGCTCCCGATATCTCTACCTCCTCCCCCAGTGGTGCAGGGGTAGGGAATGGGGGGTGCAGTCAGTGCTGCCGCTTCTGCCATCTGCGGTGGGAGGAGCTGCTGGAACTTCCCTCTGCTCCATCGTGGTCCCCCTCTCACAGGAGACAGTCCTCCACAAACTTTCTCCAACGTGAGTCCCTCCCACAGGCTGCAGCGTTCCCTTACACTGCTTCGGAGTGGGTCACCAACTTTCTCCAACTGGATTCCCTCCCACGGCTGCAGCCCTTCCCGAGCTGCTCCGGCGTGGGACACCCCCGCATGCTGCAATCCTCCCAGCACTGAATTACAGCAGCGGGGCTGCCTTTTTCCGTGAGACCCCGGCCTTCTTCGGGCACAGCACCTTGATCAACCAGGCGAAACACAGGCCATAAATCGGTGTCTGCTCCACCGTAGCTCTCCATGGGTGGCAGGGGGGGCCGCCCTGCCATCTCACCACAGGATACAGGGGGGTCTCTGCTCTGGCACACCTCCCCCCTCCTTTCTTCCTCCGTTCCTCCACTGACCTTGGTGTTCATGCAGCTGCCACAACTCCTCCTCAGAAGTCCCACTGCTCGGCACCACGTCCCTTTTTAAATACATTATCACAGAGGCGCAGTTGATCGGCTCAGTTTTGGCGCAGAGGTGGAGCTGACTTGGAGCTGGAGGAGCTTCAAGAAGCTTTTCACATGGGGACACCCTTATAGCCCCCTCCCCTGCTACCAAAAAAACTCCACCGCCCACTCAAACCCAGGACACTTCAGAAGAAAGAAAAGGTAAAGAAAAAGAAAGAGAGTTTAGAACAGTTTAAATTGTAAGCTGGAACAAGATCAGAAAAAAAAGAGTGAGTAATCATGAAAAGAGCACCAAAACAGGAATGACAGTAGTAGTTAATGACAGTTAAATGCTAAAACAGAGAGTGTTAGGAAAACATAAAGTGTGCAACAAGGTGAGAAGTGAAGCCCAGGTGAGATGCATCATAGCAAATGGCTTCTCCCAACAAAACTGAGGCACAGGAATTACTTCAGTCGGTTTCACAGTCCAGCTCTGGGAGCAAAAAATGAAAGGAAAATTAAAAAATGGCAGGCAATCAGACAAGTAATGAGTGATCAACCATCCATCCATGAGTTCAATTGCATGGTGAGCACCAGAGTCAGGCAGAAGTCACGCTGTGGCTGCAGCTTGAAGGACCTTCTGAGTGGAGCTTGAGCCTTCCACCCCAAATCCCTCAATACCCCCAGCCTGATTTTACAGTCGCTGCCAAGACCCTGCAAAGGCAGCTTGCTTCCTTAGTATCCAGGTTGGCAGCCCGAGGTGGCCCAGGTGTTTTCGTGCTGTGCTCCTTAGGCCTTTGGATCTCAGTTAGCACAAGTCAAGCTTGCTGGAGCAACCCTGTCTTCAGTCATGCAATTAACTCATACACAGGTTCCCAACTTCTCCCGTCTGAACAAGTCTT